GATCGAGATATGACGAATATGCCATCTATCATCATTTATATTGTACACTGTACGGCCATTTCAATTATAAAATTTTAAATATACTGTAAAATTCAATACAGGTCTCAAATTGATTTAAAAGTCAAATCATTCATTCTTACGGAATTCATTACTCAATAAGAAAAAATTGGGTTACTAATTTTGAATTTTTTTTTTTTAGTTTGCTGTAGCGAATTTATTTTTTTACTGCTAATTTTGGCAATAAATATTAAAACCATACTATTTTTGAATAGAGAATGCAAATACCTTTCAAATGAGGTATCACAAGCCCTTACTTCCCGTTTAAAAATGTAGGGGTTGTAACTGCCATTCTGAGGGATGAAATTTTTACTTTGCAGAATGTCATTTCGGAATCCAAAATCGACGTGTCTCACAAATATTTATAAATATGCACAATAATTGGGATACTGAATTTATTCCATTTGGCAGTTCCACACTATATATTACAGTAGTAAAGATTGTAATATGAATCTAATCTGTTCATGAAGAATAGTAATTATTCAATTCGTAATGAGAGCGCAACTGGCTATGTTATTTGTTCTTATCATAGGAATATTTAGCATAGTATGAAATATTAGATGACTCACTAAGGTTAGGTTGAATGTAAAATCACGTATGAACTATAAATATGAGTTTGAAGAATAAATATTAAATGTAAACACTTTAATTTAGGATTGTTTGTTAATTAATGCTACATATTCAATCCCTGAAAATTGTTTTAATCGCTATTTTTACAGGATATTGACAAAATATGTTGTTCTAAAAGAACAGTTAATTATTTTTGCATTTTATAATTATTTTTGAAAAATTTCTTCGAATTCTTAACTTATGTTCTTTGCTGACAACACAGGCTTTAAATAATATTTCTTAGGGGCATGCTCAATAATTCCATTGGGCTCATTCAAATTATAACTTGTTTTTACATTTTCCACAAATACTTAACCGCTTAAATATATGGTGAAATGTGCTACTCGCAATGCATCTGTGTCGTCACACCACTCAATTGGCTTAAAGCGTTATTAACTTTTGTCTCAAGATATTTGTTTGTTGTATAGTTTTAGTATTTTCTCTGTATACTGGTATTTTTCCACACGTGAAATATTATAAAATTAATTATAGAAATATTTGCGTCAAACGGATTAGCGTAGGGCTATTTTTATTAAACTATTTTTGCCAAACAAAAAATCATTAACCGGAAAAAGCAGGCCAGTTCAATTAAAGACTTTGGTGTAAGAAGGGGATAAGTCTTTTTTTTAAATTACATTTCTGCAAATATGGGTTCAAAAATGTACTCTTTTCGTGTGGCGCAAATATAAAATCTGATCACGTCTTCCACCTGGGGCAAATTTAAAAATATAAAATAAGTAACAAATGACACAACAACAAAAAATACTAACATAAAAACAATTATTTTTCCTATCCAGAACAATTTAAGTATTGCCGCTTATTCCTTTCTTGCACCAGGGTTATTGTCTGCTTCCGTAGCTAAAGACGTCATGTGGGAGCCAGACAAGTGCGTGGGCTAGCCTCCAGCGAGTGATATGACGTCACAACATGACTTTCGTGCCTTTATTCGCGCTCCGTTTTTATTAGGGAGAAATTGTTGAAAAGAAATGCAGATTTTTACACATTAACTAACTATTATGTGTATTTCCTGAATACAAAAAAAAATGCTGAATGAGCCCATTCTGGATAGGCTGATGTTAGAAGGCGTGTTAGCATATAAGAGAAACAAAACTTGACTTGGATATTTTTATTATACATATTCTTGCAGTACACATATATCTTAACAGCAATATTAAAAATTGCATATTTTTTAATATAACTATATAGTTATACTTTATCCATAAGTACGATATCTACACTCACTGCATACTATACTACCGATAACTAAAAATTATTTAACACTTCCATGTAACCCTTAAGTACGTAAATAATTTTTGTAAAATATGTAGTAAATCGTCTGTAAGGTGAGCATATTCGATTTGGTTGTCCAAATGTCCCCAGGTGATTGAAAACGTATCGTGCTCCTTTATATCACACTATAAAACCTAGGAATATACATAGGAAAATGATATGGTCGTAAATAATCAGTAAACAATATGCATGTTCGTTGAGAAATTTATAATTCTTAAGCTGCTCTCACACGACGCGACATACGACTTTGAGTCTCGGTCAATTATAAATAATGTTGCAAATAAAAATATAATTTTGTCCGTTTTCAATCACCATAGGTTCATTTGATTAAGTAACTTTCATTTAGAGTATGTAAGTAAAAAAATTGGTACTTAAGTTCTAATATTTCTCAAAATGTACAAAATTATACAATAGCAATTTTTACAAAATAATTTAAATAATTTACAAAGAAACTCATCATCTCAACTATGTACAAAATAAATTCATTTATAACACGACGCTATATCTTGATTGGGTGGCAACGTACCGACTAGTTTTAAGTACATTTCTCTAAAAATGCTGGAAATAATTGCACAATGTTAGGCAGTCGAAACGTTGCCACCTCAGGTCGTAATATTGCACAACAATTAAAAGATATTTGTGTAAGGTGAAGATATTTTTTAGACTCGCGTAGATGATATACGAGGCTTGATCAAAAAGTAACGAGAATGTTCAAATTGTTCGTTTTGTATCTTGCCGACGATACTATGTCACAGTCACGCGTTTATCAATGGTACAAGTGTTTTTTACTACCCGGTCGTACAGTTAACAAGGAGTACTACGTACAAGTTTTGTGGAATTTGAACGAGTCAGTCAGGAGGATACGACAAGTACACAAGAGAAGAGTCAAGGATTTAGCGAAACACAATATCGTTGTGATGCCTCAACCACCAACCTACGTTAGTGTGAGTGGATAAAAATTGAAAATTAAATAAATACTGAGAAATTAAGAATTCCCATTACTTTTTGATCAGACCTCGAACTTCTGATCTGTTGATCAAGTTTTCTAAGAATTAGTACATTGGAATAATGAAAAGTACTACTAGAACTGGTTTTAGATCCATATGGAAAATAAATTCACCTTACTTCACTTATTGCATGACATTCAAATATCAAAAAGAAATTAATGATTTTTAATTTCTCACCCTGTACACTCTAGATTTATAATTATAAACCACTTTTACGGAATTAAAACAATTCGGTTTACTGAAAATTCGATGTTACATTTGTACAACCGTTTATTTTTTGCGTGATAGAAAAAAATACGACAACTTATTTTAGACAATCCTTTCCATTGTTTTTTCATTAAAATAAAAGAAACGTAGAAATAATTGCATTTCTAAACAAACTTTAAATCTTAGTCCTGTTAATTATAATAATGAAACGTTAAATAATGTTTTTTGATGAAAAAAAAAAAAACAATAAATAGTACTCTAGAAGTATTAGATCTTTTGCGCTCAAGATGAAGCGATGGAGACGATGATGACATTGACAATTTTCTTTAAGATTATTCACATCAAATTGCCATCCAAATTGGACGAACTTTGTAGGTCATTCTTGAACAATACAATGAAATTGGCGAAAGTTGAAAATTTTAACTTGTTTTCTTTCCTTCTAATGTACTATAAACATTTTAATTGAAGACAAATCTCAAAGTTAAGAAAAATATGTATATTTAACCATTATTATTACTGGAAAACAATTGTCTCAGTGGCGACGCTAGGGGGGGGGGGGAGCAGGGGTGGCCCAGGCCACCACTAAAAATTTATCGGCCACTCCTATATTACAAAAGTAACTGTCAAAATGTTAGCCAAAGAAGAAAATAAAAATATCAAATCAATGTTAGACCTATGTAAACTTTTACATAATTTTTATCCAGCTTTTTAAATTCTATCAACTTTAACAAAAATTGCTCTTACATTGCCAGTTTGTACCGCACGCTGTGAAACATCTTTTTCGTGCTTAAAAAGAATAAAAACCTACCTTCGAACAATGATGGTTAATGATAGGTTGTCAAATATTTCTATATTAAGTATTGAAAAGGAAAAAGCCACAATACTTAACCTTGATTGCGTTGTAGATGCATTTGCTCAAAATCATAATAATAGACGAATTTTGCTGATATGATAAAAATGTGTTATTTTTTTAAATACGTTAAGTTTATTTAAGCTTAAAATTGTTGTAGACTAAAGATAACTCTTTAAAAATATCAGAAATATCCGAATAATTAAACCTTTTTTTATTAGATTAAGCAGTAATAAAAATTAATATTTATCACAGTTAGATATATTGTATTCTCTACCACCCCTTTGAAATCATTGGCCACCATCTGGCTACCCCTCTTATGGGCGTCGCCACTGAATTGTCTTGAAATTTACTAAATGTTTCACAATAATAGTTGTTTACATTTTTTCCATAGGACAAGTCTGCCGCGTGTACACGTCAGCAGGTTGAGCGCTGTTATCACGTTGTAATGAAACTCCCCAATGTTAATACTCGCTGTATTTTGAAAATTGTTAATCTTACGCCCCTGTAATATACAACTTTTTTGTTCATTTATGATTACTCTCATGCTGAAATTATGGCAGTCATACTTCTTACACCCTGTATTTACGTTAGACGAGAATATAAGCTCTGTCTACAATATGGTCTTAAAAAAAGCTCTGTCTATTTTTATGTTCAGATACTTCAGCTACTGAAAATTTATTTTAAAAGGATTATCTAAAATAAATTGCTTCTATTTATACTATTTATACAAAATATATTTATATTTCATATTAATGTAGTGAAAGTGCCTAGTTTTCCGGTATCTGCGATTTTTTTTACAATCGAAATGAAAAACTAGTAGCAACTAGAGCTTTCTCAGAAAACTAATCGCTTCCACCTGAAAATCTGAACCTCAAATACCTTTCGCCAATAGAAGGAACATCGAATAGTTCAGCCTCAGTAACCACGAAGGAAATCTACAACAGTACAAAATCTTAGGCGGACCCGTCCGCGTTGTGTCAGAAGATGGCCTGGCCGGACTCCGAAGTCACCACCTCCTGGTGGTGGAGGTTGTTGGCGTTCGCATCACAGCTCTGCTGGTTAGGCCTGATATGGAGCATCAGATTGTGGTTGAGCAGCTTGGCGCTGTGCTCCTGGGCCTTGGCCCTCAGGCAGGCTATGGAGTTGTTCCTAAAGGCCTCGGGGTCGTCGTTGTACGTCTGCTGGCCGGCAATGGGCGGGTGCGGCTGTTGCTGGTCCTTGTCGCCGGCGCCCGCGTGGCTCGGCTGCGTCTGCGGGGGTTGGCTCGAGGTGGCGCTGGAGTCGCTCGCGTCGGTCCGCATCGACGTGGATTCCTCGTGGTCGCTGTTGGTCGTGTTGTCTTCCTTCAGGTGTTCGGCGGCCTCCAACGATTTCCGGTGCATTCCTGGAACCAGGGGGGGGAGCGTTAGGTGGCTGTCGGCGGTGGTGTGGCTTTCGGTCGAATAGATTTTTGTCAGAAAAGGTCTTAGAAACAAATGTGGATATTTAAATATGAAGGATCAACATCATTAATTTTTTTTCTTCTAGGAAATTACCAAGATCTGATCATTTTGATGCTCTAGACCAGGGGTCGGCAAGTAATTTTACGTGAGGTCCGGATACTTTTGAAAATTTCTAAGTCCACAAAAAAAACTCGCATTCCTTACTAATTTTTTATTTTAATTTGCACTCACAAATTTAATCTACCTACTAACTATTAAGAACTCAAATCAATCATGCAATTGTAGTAGAAATGATAAGGGTGGCACTCAAATGTATTATTATCGATAGAAAACTATTTAAATAATTTAATTGAGTAATTTATACTTTCAAAAAATTTTTGGGAGTCCATTATTTTACCTTCCGCGGTCCGGATCTGGACCGCGGTCCACCAGTTGCCGACCCTTGCTCTAGACTCTAGACTCTAGACCAGGGGTCGGCAAGTAATTTTAGGTGGGGTCCGGATACTTTTGAAAATTTTTAACGAAGTCCACAAAAAAAACTCACATTCCTTACTAATTTTTTATTTTAATTTGCACTCACAAATTTAATCTACCTACTAACTATTAAGAACTCAAATCAATCATGCAATTGTAGTAGAAATGATAAGGGTGGCACTCAAACGTATTATTATCAATAGAAAACTATTTTTTAAATAATTTAATTGAGTAATTTATACTTTCAAAAAATTTTTGGGAGTCCATTATTTTACCTTCCGCGGTCCGGATCTGGACCGCGGTCCACCAGTTGCCGACCCTTGCTCTAGACTCTAGACTCTAGACCAGGGGTCGGCAAGTAATTTTTGGTGGGGTCCGGATACTTTTGAAAATTTTTAACGAGGTCCAGAAAAAAAATCATATTTCTTATTTTTTATTTTAATTTACACTCAAATTTAATCTGCTTACTAATTAAGAACTCAAAACACTCATAGAATTGTAAAATGCTAGAAAAAATGATAAGATTGGCACTTAAACGTAAAAAACATTTTTTAAATAATTTATTTGAGTAATTTATACTTTAAAAAAATTTTTGGCGGTCCAGTATTCTACCTTCCGCGGTCCGGACCTGGACCGCGGTCCGCCAGTTGCCGACCCTTGCTCTAGACCAATAGTTCCCGGACCAAGCTAGAGCTAAAAAGATCTTCACCAGGGTTTTAACGAAAATTAATTCGTGGTAGTATGCACATAACATTCTGTCTATCTCTTGCACTCTCTCTTTTAGAGAGCTAAAACTTTAAGAATAACGAGGACAAATATAGTAATGTAAGCACTCGTAGAGAATCGTCGTAATACCCTACTAAGTAGAACGTATATATACAGGGTGTTTCTTAATAACGTGCTAATATTTAAGAAGGTTATTCTTGGGTCCATTTTAAAAAAAACTTCATATGAACATATGTCCTAAAAGTCTTAACTTTTGAATTACAGGGTGCTAAAGTTTTATGACATTTTTTTTTATGATAACTGGTATTACTCTAGATATTTTTTCAAATTTGGTACACGCTAGGGTTTCTGATTTCTCGGCCTACTTTTGTTCTCGTGACTCGAGAATTCTCGACTAGGAATTCCCGGGAATTCTCGAATTCTCGACAAATTTCTAAAACTGAAAAAGGTCATAATTTTGGTATTGCAATGCGAAATATAAACATGCTATTATACTTAACAATCATCATTAACATTTTATTATTTATTCAATATTTTTATTACCAAATTACTTATATAAATATATAAATACTATATGTTTCTACTTCTACTAACAAAACTAAATTAAACTTTGAGTATCTTCTTCTTAAAAACCTTTAACTGGTTTTTTTATTAAATACTTTCATTATACTTATGTTTATTTCAATGTTTTTGAATCGGAGCTTTCTTCCAACAATTATTAATAATTATTAATCATGCAGTCTTTTAATTAAACAAATAGTAAATAAGGAATTTAACCGAAGAAATCTTAAAAAAAATCAAGCTTTAATTTAAAGATACAGAAGCGTTCTTCCTATTAATTTATAACTTATAATCACAATCTTTTAATTAACAAAACAAAAATAAGATAAATCAACTAAAGGAACAGAAACTAAATATTTTCAGAATCAACATCAACACTAGGTATCTGCTTATAATAAAATTTCTACACAGACGTAATATAACAAAGTACATTAAAAAAATAAGAATCGTCAAAGTAAACTAAAAGCCTTAAAAACTTAAACTAAATAAATCATGAGCTAGTCGAGAAACCACTTTAACCGTTCAGTTATTTGTCGAGAAACGAATTGAAAGCATGAACGAAACGAACTCCAAACAAGAACTTAAGACGCGCGTGATTTTTAAATTTCTCGATTTCTCGACACTTTTTTCTCACCTCGAGTAAGGCCAGATTTCCCGGGAATTCTCGCTTCGAGAAGTCTCGACCAGAAACCCTAGTACACGCTTTCCATTCTTCGAGAAGCATTTTCTGATGTACAAATAATTTTATTATTTTTGCCAGTGGCGTCTGCACAGGTTTTGTATTGAATATTTTCGAAGAAAAATATGTTATGCCACTGCTTTTTGTTAAAGTAAAAATCATTTTTGAAATCCTCTTCCTTTCTGAGCAAATGCGGTGTCTTGAATTTTTTTCGTTTGACGTAGGTACGGTTTTCTCAAAAAAATAAAATTCATTCATTTGCATCTTATTGGACCACTTACGAGAAAAAAAAAGATTTATGTCACTTTGAACAATAATTTATTTACGATAATAACTTTTAAACGTTGAAATTATGAAATTACAGTAATCTACATACATTTTGGAATGACGTAACATATTTTTCTTCAAAAATATTCAATACAAAACCTGTAGAGACGCCACTGGCAAAAATAATAAAATTGTTTGTACATCATAAAATGCATCTCGATGAATAGAAGGCGTGTACCAAATTTGAAAAATATCTAGGGTAATTGGTTATCATAAAAAAATGTTTTTTCATAAAACTTTAGCACCCTGTAGTTCAAAAGTTAAGACTTTTAGGACATATGTTCATAAGAAGTTTTTTTCTTAAAATGGACCCAAGAATAACCTTAAATATTAGCACGTTATTAAGAAACATCCTGTATATTCTTATACGCGGTGAGTCATTAATAATGGCAGATTGTTAACGTCAAAATATAGCGATCGAGCCAAACATGCCTTAATCAATTGTTGCTCCTTTTCGTTCTACAGGGTGTTAAAATTGAACAAATATTTTCCATTTTTTGCCATATTTTAAGTATGTATTGATCGATTGTTTAGAAAATTTGTGGTTTTATGTTTTTTGTGGTGGCAAATACGAATGTGCAAACAGTGTTGGGTCACGTCTAGGGGGCGATAGTTATAGTGTCCTGTCAATGTAAACATATGTCTAACTAGAAATTATTTAACTAGGTTCAATTCTAAATAAAAAAAGTATGCTTGTGACAAATTATGTATAATGATCGTACATAAAATTGTTAATCACAATATTGATTGCATTATACTTTCACCGCACATTAATTATCGCTTTCCTATACTAAATAATGGATCTGGTAATTTATCTATAATTTCTCTTTCCCGCATCAACATTTTGCAATGATCTTTATCCCAAATGACAATTAATGATGTTAAAATTGAGAACAGGCTGGTCATATCCAGTTCTCTGGCAGATTCTACTATCGTAGTTGACATTTCACGAAAATTACATGCCTAAACATAACTGAAGTTTTGTTTGTTTGCCGGCATTTAATTTCTTACATAAAATGAAAAATTGCAGTTTCAAAGTTTAAAAGTGATATCGTAAAACGTTACAATTTAGTAAATCATGGATAAGAGAATGTTTTTATTGTATTTTCAACTGCAATAGCGCCACCGAATACACTACATGCGTGTGTATATGTATATCCGGAGTTGAAAATAATTTTCATGCATCACAAAAGTGGGCTAAAGTAACGGAGTACGGATTATGACGGCGTTACGGATATGAGCAGTAGGACATCCAAGGACAAGGAACGTTACATAAAGTGGCGACATCGGGTGGCGTTACTGTCAATCGTGCAAGTGCGCAGCTTTCTAGGTTCTCTCTAGTGCTTTGGATTTACTATTGGCAACTTTTTCTGGCACTCCGACAGAGGGTGCAGAGATGCCTGTGAGTTGGAAGTCCAAGTCCTTGTTTTACTTTTCAGCCTTTAGGATCGTCTGGTTTAGGTAATAAATACGTAAATAGTACCTTCTTAAAATAATCCAATTTTCAAAAGAAAATAATCTGGTATTTAATTCAGAAAAGGACACAATTTGTTGGAGATTTGAGGTCAAAACAGATAGATTGAGCGTAGACAAGCACTAATCAAATATTACTCATTCTACAAGATGTTACATGCTTACAAAAGTCTAATTTTGGCAATAATGCTTCGAAAACCGTTGTTCAAGTTGAAAATTAGGCCATATATTTTTAATGGCGAAAATTTTTAAATAGTACATATGTTGTGCGTAGGGGGCGTTAGATACACCTTGCTGGTTGAGCAAATATGACCTCTAGTTTCTCGTTTTTCAAATACCGACAAATATACAGTAAAATTCCAGTCTTAGCACGCTTTTTCAGTTTTATATATTGATAAAGAGCAACATTTGAGCTTAAAAATGCATGTAAATCATACAGAAATATCAGTTTGGTAAATAAGTATTTTTCCATTTAGTATAATAATTTCTGATTAAAAAAAAAACTGACATGGGTATGTAGTTTTGTGGAAACATTTTATTTGGTGCCATTTTTTGAGATATGGAAACAGAAAACGCTGATTTTTTTTTACTGTTTTAATATTTATCGACCTTAAAGCGACACTTTTCTAATATGTTGCCTTTATTTCAAGATAAATGGTTAACAACTGTAGAATTCAGTAACTAATAATGTCCTAATATATTATCTGAACAATGCTGAGGTTACTTACTACAATAAACATACAATTTTCTATATACAGTGTTTTCTAATGATTTCTTCACTTGTTATCCATTTGTGGTTAAAAAAAGACATACAATTATTACCTAACAGCCAGGGAGCGACACTTTCGTTTTCTTTGGCGCTTTTAAGGATGGTCTCCGGAAGGGGCAACGAATGTCGTACCATCGCGCCGTATAGTCCGTACTCTGCCATTATCGTACTTCTACCCCAACATTTCTCCGTTTTCCTCCATTTCGCTCGCCTATTTTGAAACCATACCTTGAAAAAAAAAACAAACATGTATAATATTTCTGCTTCTCCATTATTCAAAAAAAAAAATTTTGTATGATGCAGAGGCACAGAGGTATAGGAAACCAAAGATTTGAAAAAGGGAGAAGAAAATATATTAATGAAGTTGCTTTCTGTTTGTTGAGATTTTTTATGAAAATAATGAAATATTTTATATTTCAGTGTCCCTATGAAAAAATATTTAGAATTATGATGTATTATACCAAAGTTTTAGGATTTTTTTTAAATGAATGTCAGCATTTCAAAAATTGATTAACTATTTTGTATAGGTATGTATAGTTTCCTTGATTTATAAAAAAACGTGTTTATTCTTCTATTGTTTGGCGTACGCAACGGGGCACGGTTTGGGGATCAGTATTATACAGGGTGTCCCAGAAATAAGTGCCAAAATTTACGATTTAAAAAATTACAATATCTTAAAAACAAAAGGTTCTTGAAAAAGGTTATGAAGCAAATGTAGGTGTTATAAATGAGTGGAAAAATGATTGCACTTATTTCTTGGACACCCTGTCCCTATTTTCTTGTCAAATTTAATGTATAAAGCCAACACACCAATGCAAAATTTTGTGTAGGCCACTGACTAGTACATATATTTTGCAGCTTACCATTGTCTGATTGGATTTAAATAGTGTTTAAAAAAAAGTTTACCGATTACGTAGAATACTTGTACTAACACATATTTTAGTTCAGTGCTAAAGATAGCTTCATCCAAGGAGCGCAACTACGTGGCTCATATACAGGGTGATTCACAAATTATCCAAAAAACTTTAGGAGTATATGCGTGAAAAAAATTTAACAAAGTTTTGAATTTGTAAAAATTGTTTATTTGTAACACTTGAATAACACTATAATGTTTTAATTAATAAAGTTATATGTCTATAATGCAACAAGAAATACATTTGGAACGTACTATATGTACTAGCCAAGTATCTGGCCCTGGTTAATGAGTTGTAAGATACAGGGTTGACATTCGAACACCTCCTATGATGGGCCTGTAGAGGTCCTGCAGCGGTGTCCGCATTAAATTTGGACATTTGACCTCTCCAGATTGAGCCCATCTTTACAATCTTTTGTAATGGGTCTCGAACGGGTCGTCGATCTGTAGTGTGTTTGTTTTCGTGTTGTGGTTCCTCAATTCGAATTTCGTAATATTCGGAGAAGTTTTCAGTTTCCGAAATTCGAAACTGAGGCGATTTATTGATACTCGCCTCGCGTCGTTGGCGGTCGAATTGCCAACAGTATCGGTCTCCGTCGTCTGTTGCGGCTTTAGTGTTTGGGGGCACCTGGAATTGTCGTAGTTACGTTTTTGGGAAATTTTCAAAACTTAGTTGAAAATTTAGTTTACGCTCTTTCACGTGGTGTGTTATCTCGGTTCTTTCGAACAAGGCCATCCGTTTTTACAGACGTTGGCTCAGTGTAGACGGGTTGGAGACAGCTCGAAGGTTAGATTCGAAAGTGGAGTGAAATTTCGAAACGGGGTCTATTCTACATCCCATAATCGTATTTTTGCAAAACTGTGATATACAGGGTGATTTACAGAAATATATTTTTTTAGTTGGCTCGCTCTGTACGTTTATGATCTTTAGGCGCCCGCCAATTGTTGCCGGGCGATGTCTTAATCAAACTCTTTTCTTGATTTAGCGACTCCGTTCGACGGTGGAACTTAATCGAATCCCGCCGACTTACACTTAGGCGGGGCAGAAGTAGTACAAACAAAAATCTCGGTTTGGATGTCTACCAGAGTTGGGCGCCGAGCGTTCCCATTGAACGAGTTAATTTCTAATTTAATTTGTTAATTAATTCTGTAACACGGCGCGGCGGGGGCTAATCGGTTCCATTGTGCCCGGAATTACACCTTCACAAAAGCGCCCGCTTTATCTAGAGTGCCGTGCAGATTCGGCGTACGCCCCCTCCCCCGGCTGCTATTGACGTTCATGTCGCTGTTGTACTGTCAGTGCGTGTCCGCCGTGATTATAACAGTATTCCCGTTTTGTTGGCGCGTAATCATTTAATGCGTTTGTCCAAATTAAATAATTTGGAGCTGAACGCAGAAGTCTCTATCTAACCGCCACTTAACACCAGGGCAGTCAAAACTGGACTGAAAAATTTGTAGGGAAGTAATAGCTCTAGCTTTTCTCCTCGTATCTTCCGCAGATTTCGATAAAATTTCGTTAGAAAGGACTGGATAGGATTATGGAAATATCCCAAGCAAACTCTAGTGCTATTTTCGGGGTTTACTCCCTCGAATTGCTCTAGCGGAATTTTTCAATAATTTTTAGGCGCCCAATAAAAATTTTGGCAAGAGAAGAAGTTACTGAAATATATTCACTATGTTCAAGCAAATTTTCCACTCGAAGCTGATGATGTGTAACAATCGTATTACTATGCAAATCGTAATAGGATTAGATGGATGCTAATGTTTCTAAAGGAGCTGCGATTTTTCCAGTAATTTTCATATAAACTACAACCAAGTAGGGAAAATAAGAAAGTACTTTTGCATTCTGCCTTCAAACTGTATGTAAATGGCAATATTAGCAAGTCTTTCATATTTAACAGGACTAAAAGAATTACCTCATTAGAAGCTTTATTGGGATTCTTGGAGTTGTTTAATATTTACGTTAATTTAAAAGTATGTCGGTTTTGTATCACTTTTTTAAATTCAACAATATTAAACTTAACTCTGTTGAATTTGAAATATGGACAATAAAATAGAATGTATTTATATTAATCATACATGCTTTGATCAATTAATATAAATTTTACCCATGTTTCGATAGTCCCCCTGACATTTCTATGAAAAATTTGTTCTTGTGTTAGGAAGATTTTTTTCAGTCAGGACCGCATATCATGTTTAAGTGAATTTTTAAGCAACTATTAGAAACTTTCCGTTCACAGACACGACCAGACACGATACAGACACACAGACACGACACAGACACACAGACACGACACAGACACACAGACACGACACAGACACACAGATACGACACAGACACACAGACACGACACAGACACGACACAGACACACAGACACGACACAGACACACCACGACACAGACACAGACACACAGACACGACACACACACACAGACACGACAGACACACAGACACGACACAGACACACAGATACGACACAGACACACAGACACGACACAGACACGACACAGACACACAGACACGACACAGACACACGGACACGACACAGACACACAGACACGACACACACACACACAGACACGACACACACACACAGACACGACACACACACACAGACACGACACACACACACAGACATGACACACACACACACACAAACTGAAATATGAAGATAATTTTAATTTCAACTGCATATTAGCTATTACTGGAAAGGTTCTGTACCATTGGGAAGATATCTTAGTTCATAGGTTTAGACTGTCATCTGCAACCATGCTCGCAGACACGGGAAGATATGTTTTAAAGCTAGCTCAGGAAAGTGACGCGACTTATAACGGAACACTGGCGCTTTAGCAAACATCTATACAAGCTAAGGCTTGTAGGCAGTCTCTTCTGCCAAGAATGTGAAAAGAACAAAATTACTTGCTGAATAGGATTAAATAGTGGGATGCACAATAGGCCTTGATTAGAACCAAGCACTAGTAGTAGAAGCAGCTATTAAACACAACGCTTTTGTGTTAAACATTTCAGTTGTTTATAATGTCTTATTTCTCTCACTTTTAATACAAAGTACTATTATTAATTCTTATATAAGACAATTTTCTACAATGGAAAGTATATAAAAGCTGTTACTTTTGAGACAATCGTAGACAAATCTTGTTTTACTTACTGAAGAGCTGGTGGTTGGCGACCCTGTACACAAAATGCAACAAAATGAGCAAAGTGCTGATCACAACGGTGAACGGGACAAATAACAGTCATTATCGGACCCGGACATGTGTCATATATTTCCGGACCGGTTAGCTGAAAACAGCAAATAAAATTATCCAACTATTATGTTATTATGTCGAGAGAGAAAAAAATAAAAAAGTACTAGGTGCTAATTGGACTGGCTGTCTTGTTTATAAGACTCATTATTCCCCGGCCGCCTTACGTGTTCTCGGCCTTATGTTGGCTCAACTGACAGGCTCATTGTGTGGAAATCATCGAGTCATCGTATTTTTTATATCGATATAATTCCTCGGGTTGCGCTCAACTTTCTGCTTAGTAATTTCACAGGATTCGATATGAATGGTTAAGTTGTTTTATTGTACGGACCCCTGTTCCGAATTATGGGAATAATTGCGTCGATTTCGTTTAAATTGTATCCACTCTTTTAACCGGTAGTGTAAATATGGCCTTCTGAACCAACGCCCTTAATAACAAACTAATAGTGGGAATAAGTAGGAGGTTTATTTATTGGGTGTCTTTCATCATTCATTATAAAAGAAATAACTTTGAATAGGGGTTATACAGATACAACTTTTCACCTTTAGAAACAGGTCTCAAGTTTGTTTTCTCAAATTTTTTTATCCTCATTTTAGTAATCGTCATACCCCGCTGCTAGACACACTAGTGAGACCTTAAACAACGGAGCCCGTCGAACGTTTACATAATTTGCCATATTATTTATTTATCTCAGTATCTATGTGCAATACCATTATGTGACTGAGTGATCCCACCCTTTTTCATATCCAGATGCATTGTCTAACCAATCATTTATGAGTGATTTATTTTTGCACTCAATATTTAGTTAAATTTAAAACATATTAGAGAAAAAGTCAACTAAATTGGTTTTATATACTCATAATAGAGTCAAATGTCACTCAATTGATAGTTAGCAGTAACTCGGTCAATCGGGAGATTTTGCTGGCCAGTATAGATTTTTATAATGAGTTCATTCGTTCAAGTGGTCCTATTGCAAGTGAGACAATTTTTCAAATAAAATGTTTCACTGTATTGAGAAATACAGTTACTTTTGGCATTATTTGCCAAAA